AAGACCGACGTTGATGCACGTCGAAGCAGTAGAAGAAGAAGTAGATAGACTTCTGGAGGCCAGGGCCATCCGAGAAGTTCACTACCCAACTGGCTATCCAACACAGTAGTGGTAAAGAAGAAGAACGGCAAATGGAGGGTTTGTGTAGACTTTACCAGCCTCAACAAAGCCTACCCAAAGATAGCTTTCCCTGCCCAAGATTGACCAGCTCGTAGACGCTACTTCAGGGCATGAAAGGATAAGTTTTCTGGATGCATACAGGGGGTACCACCAGATTGCCATGTACCCTCCAGACGAGGAGAAAACCGCGTTCATCACCCCTAAGGCCTGTACTGTTACAAGGTAATGCCTTTTGGGTTGAAAAACGCAGGAGAACTTACCAAAGGTTAGTAACAAAAATGTTCAAACACCTGATTGGCAAAACAGTAGAAGTCTACATCGATGACATGGTCGTGAAGACCAAGGAATCTAAGGGTCATCTTGCCGACCTAAAAGAGGTCTTTGATATACTCAAACAATACCGGCTCCGACTCAACGCATCTAAGTGCGCGTTTGGAGTTGGATTAGGTAAGTTTTTAGGGTATCTGGTAAAGAGAAAGGGCATTGAGGCCAACCCAGACCAAATCAAGGCCATCCTAGAGCTGCAGAGCCCAACGTCGGCAAAACAGGTTCAGATGCTTACTGGAAGGGTCGCAGCCCTAAACAGATCATCAGCAGAAACTCAGATAAATGCAGACCCTTCTTCAACCTGGTGAAAAGACACAGACTTTCTGTGGACAGAAGAATGCGAAGCCGCTTTAACCGACCTAAAGAAGTACTTGGACTACAACTCCGGTTCTCTCCAACCCAGAACCGGGGAAGAACTGTTTTTATAATTGGCAGTTTCAGAACACGCAGTAAGTGCAGTACTAATCCGAGAAGAAAAAGGGGAGCAAAAGGCTGTTTATTATGTTAGTAAAACCTTGGCCGATGTAGAAACAAGGTATCTACCACTGGAGAAATTAATGCTAGCCTTAGTAATGGCTTCAAAGAAGTTGAACCATTACTTTCAGGCGCACAAGATTGTGGTCCTAACAGAGCACCCACTGAAGTCCTTGTTGCAACAAGGAGACTTAACAGGAAGGATAGCAAGATGGGCAGTAGCCCTGGGCCAGTATGACCTGGAGTTCAGGCCACGAACAGCAATTAAAGGCCAAGTTTTGGCCGACTTCGTGGCAGAATTCACACCCGAAACCATCGAACATCAGGCTCCGTTGAGCTAGGATGAGCATTGTCCCAGCAAGTAAAAAGAATCCCAGCCTAGGGCAAAAGAAACAAATGAAGGAAAAACTCAGACCCTGTAGCATCTACATCGGCGATTCATTCAGACTGTTCGTCGATGGAAGTTCAAATCGACAAGGAGCGGGGGCAAGAGCATTGCTAATATCTCCAGATGGAGAAACAATAGAACAGTCCATCCGTTTGGGGTTCAAGGCCTCAAACAACGAAGTGGAATACAAAGCATTAATTGCAGGGCTAAAACTGGCAGCAGCAGCAGAAGCAAATGAGGTAATAGTTTTTTGTGATTCACAACTTATTGTTACCAGTCTACAGGTGAATTTGCAGCCAGGGATGAAAGGATGTCGGCATATGCAAAAGAGGTCATCAGATTGGCAGCCCTATTTCAGAACTGCCGACTACTCCAAGTTAGCCGAGATGACAACACCCACGCCGGCGCGTTAGCTAACCTGGCAAGTTCAATGCAGACTGGAAAAACAAGGACAATTATGATCGACTATATGTCGGGCCCGAGCATAGAACCAGAGAACACAGAGCAACAAGCAATGTGTGTGGACATTGGGCAAGCTAGATGGATGCAATTTTGCATTCCTGAAAGAAGGAAAGCTGCCAGAAGATCATAAGGAGGCACACAAAGTCAAACTGAAATCAGCAAGATTCTGTCTGACAGAAGATGGACACCTCTACAGAAGGTCTTCACTGGACCACTTTTAAGGTGCGTACACCTTTACAGGTTGAAGATTCCTGTATGAAATTCATGAAGGAATTTGTGGAAGCCATGCTGAGGGCAGATCATTAGCCCACAGGGCCATTACCCAGGAGTATTGGTGGCCCTACATACAGAAGGATGCTGAAGCCTACGTAAAGAAGTGTGAACAATGCCAAAAGTTTGCACCTTTGATACATTACCAGCTGCTGACCTAAACCCAGTGTCCAGCCCTTGGCCATTTGCCCAATGGGGCATGGATCTGATTGGGAAACTTCCCCAGGCAACTAGCAGAGAAAAATACTTGCTGGTGGCAACAGATTACTTTACAAAATGGATAGAGGCAGAACCTCTTGCCAAAATCCGAGATGTGGACGTCAAGAACTTATATGGAAGAAACATCATCACCAGATTGGGATTCCAAGAGCAATAGTTGCCGAAACGGAACACAGTTTGACAGCAAACTCATCAAGAACTTTTGTGCGAAATTTAGATCAAGAATTACTTTTCAACACTAAGTTTCCCCAAAGTAATGGGCAAGCAGAAGCATCCAACAAAGTAATCTTGGATGGAATAAAGAAGAGGCTGCAGGCAGCAAAAGAAAAGTGGGTAGACGAATTGCCCAACGTACTTTGGGCATATCGGACTACGCCGAGGAGATCAAAGGGGAATCCCCCTTTGCCATGGCTTATGGCACAGAAGCAGTCATCCCATTGGAGATCGCATCCCAGGGAGTAGAGAATGGCACCAATGATATAATCTTAGCCCGAAATCTGGATCTTTTGGAAGAACGAAAAGAGAAAGCTGCAATTCAGCTCGCAGTATACCAGCAACAGCTTGCTAGAGCTTACAACAAGAAAGTCAATCCAAGAGATTTTCAAATCGGCGACCTAGTCCTAAGAAAAGTCGTCGGCAACAAGAAAGATCCCAGAGAGGGCAAGCTTGGCCCAAACTGGGAAGGACCCTACAAGAATTACTTCGGTATTAGGCAATGGAGCTTATCGGCTTAAAGATAACGAAGGCAAAGCACTACCAAGACCTTGAATACTTTGTATTTTGAAATTCTTCTATTATTAGATGTGCAGAATTTTTGGCCGATGTCATCAATAAAATCTTTTTCCTTTTTCTTTAAAACACATATGATTGATAAAATTACATATTGGTGTTTTTTGAGACATGAATAATGAGAACCCAAGTAGAACTCGGGTTCACATTGGGGGCAGAGGGAAGACAGAGATTATTCCTTAATTCACTTGTTGAAATTTGTAGCAATTACAAGTTGGAATTAAGCTGATTCCTTATCTTCACTTGTTGAAATTTGTAGCAATTTACAAGTCGAAGTTAAGCTGAGATTATTCCTTAATCTACTTGTTTGAAATTTGTAGCAATTTACAAGTTGGAATTAAGCTGATTCCTTATCTTCACTTGTTGAAATTTGTAGCAATTTACAAGTCGAAGTTAAGCCGAGATTATCCTTAATTCACTTGTTGAAATTTGTAGCAATTTACAAGTTGGAATTAAGCTGATTCCTTATCTTTAACTTGCTGAAATTTGTAGCAATTTACAAGTCAAAGTTAAGCCGAGATTACTGTTTCTCTTCACTTGTTGAAATTTGTAGCAATTTACAAGTCGAAGTGAAACCGAGGTTATAGTTTGCACACTTATAGCAATCTACAGGTTGGTCCAACCAAAGAAGATGCTTACACTTGTTGAAATTTGTAGCAATTTACAAGATAACGTTAAGCCAACATGTGATCATCTGTTGAAATTTGCAGCAATTTACAGGTTGAGGTAAAAGCTAAGTATATTGTTTAAAACACTTGTTGAAATTTGTAGCAATTTACAAGTAGGATAGACCCGAGATCACTGTTTGCAAAGTACTTGTTGAAAATACTTATTGAAACTTAAGAAAAAGTTTGCAAAGTTGACATTTAATAGTATATGTTTTACACTTATTGAAACTTATGAAAAGATTGCAGGTCAGTATCTTGCCGAGTTTTTTGTCTGAGTCCCCCAATGTTTTCCCTCTGTCCGTCACTGGCCATCTATTCTTCTAAGATTCCCACAGACGGCGCCAAATTGTGTGGGTGATTTTCTGACCACACTGCCCACCTAGTAATCAGCTGGAGAGCACCGGCAGAATAGATGGCTTCAGTGAACCTGCGACAGAAAGAAAAGGCTCCGGCGGTGGCTCTTCCACCCAGGGGCACTCCGACAATCAAGTCAATATATCTCTCAAAGATAATCAAGTGTTAAACTCACAAGTTTGAGTATAAAACTGCGTACCTTAGACCCACGGGGGTGCCTCTCTTTTATAGTTTACTTAATCCAAGTCCTACTAGAAGCCTGACTTCTATGGACTCCAATTTAGTACTTACTTTGGATTCCTCAAGAAATAAAGATAAACTCCCTAAGAGCTTTATCGTTATCTTAGCAGAAGTCTTCTCTTTTCTCTAGGACTCTTGTCCATATCCAAGTTGAGTTCCCTCTTCATTCTAGAACTCTTGTCCCTTATCCGCTTATCTCGGATTCCGATATCTTCGGAGGCAACCTCGGCCTAGCCGAGATGACCTTGGCATAACGACCAAGACACGTGGCACCTCGGCTGACACGTCGGCGTCACCTTGCCACGTGTTGGTACTCAGAAAATATATCCCCACAGTTTTTAAAAGTAACACCCACGTGTCATTTTTATTTAAGATTGAAAGGTAAATTTCATATTTGATATTTATATGAGGTGACACTGCTTTGAGATTCGAATTATGCATTCCTATATTTTTAGTTAATAGTAAGAAATTTGAAATATATATATATATATATTTGATAAAAAATAACATCCAAATAATATACATTGACGTGTATTTGAGATTCAATTTTTTTTTTTTTTTTGATAAATAAGAAATTGAAATAATCTACAAGTAGGAGTGTGAAGCAGAGTCGTTGGTTTTATAAAAGGGAAGAGGAACCCGATTTTGTTCTCTCACTAAAACAGCCAACATTGATCATGCGCATGCAATTACACCATTCCTTCTTCTTCTTCTCCAATGGATTCACCCTCCAAGAAATCCTCTCGATTCTTCAAATTTCTTGATTTGAATGCCCCATTCCCATATGAATTGGAATTGGAATTGAATACTCCTCCTCCTCTTAGCTTTCCTTCTTCTTCGTCACCTTCTCTGATCAACAAGAGTCTTCAATCCAATGTGAAGGAAAACAACAAGTCCTGTCATGATCACCCACCATCGGAATTAATGCCGCATTCTAAAGAATTGGCACAGAACAACAACAACAACAACAACATCATCATGACTTGCAAGAACTCTGATGACTAACACCTTCCAGATTTTCAAATTTTAAGGGACAATCCCTTGTAAAAATAAATGGGGGCAAAATTACACCGGAGATCTTTAATTTGTCCTTGTATCTATTTGGTCTCTACAATTTCATTTGTATCAATTTTGATTTTAAAATTTTCATGTTGTATCAATTTAGTTCAATTGATAACACTTCTCTAAAAATTAGATCAAAATCAAGGACCCAAATGGTTCGCTCATTATTCCTAAAGTGATTAAGATGTTAGTGTCCAATTTAAAAATGGTCTATTTTGTTTTGAATTGACCATTTTATCTTTGATTTTTGTCAAAATTCTTAACAAATGTTAACAATTGAATTAAATTGGAACAACAGAAAAAATTGGAGGACAATATCTATACTATTATCTATGTGAACACATGATTTGGTGTCTAATAGTGTGGTGGTTTTTCCTTCTGTCACGTGGCAAATTTTCCTATCCTAAAATAAAAAAATATTATTCAAAGGTGTGAGCAAGATTTAAACCAAAGACCTTAAGTTTCATTAAGAACACTCTTATCATTTAGACAACATATATATTATGATATTAATTTCTTTATTATTTGGTTTTATGCTTATCTGAATTGCACACGTATTGCGTGTGCCACCCACTTGTACACATATATCTATACATATACTAGCATAAAACATGTGCTATTTACAGAAGAGTCAAAATTTTATTTATAAATTAAAAATAATAAAGCCTTTTAAGGTGTATATATATTGCACAATCTTGATTTATATTTCTTTTTGTTTTTTATATTTTATTAAAATATTTAAATTTGAAAGAGAAAAAGAGATGTGATTTAGTTGTGGTGTGAATTTAAGGTAGAGTTAGTAGATTTTGATTATGATAGAGATTTAATGTAGTAATTTTTAGTAGTAAAATATACATCAAAAATAGGCATTATCTTGTTGGGTGGTCTAAATTTTGAACCTTTATGCAATAAGAATTTTTTTTTTCTTTTCTTAAGTGAACATTGGGTGACATGGTAAATAGTCTAATGATTATGATTTTTTTTATATTTATTACATTTTTGATAATCAAATAGTTATGCTTGAGATATAGTCAAATATCTGATCCAATTGATCATGACCACATATACCAATTAATTTATCTAATATTTATAAATTTTTTTACCATCTAAACAAATTGGTGTTTTTATTTTTTTATTTTTCTATTTGTAGTAGAATGAGATAAATATTTTAATGTTCAATTTTTTTTTTAAAGTTTAACAAATAGTTATGATTAAGTTACAGTCAAAATGTGTAACCCAATTGGATTATGCCCCATGTTTTCAATTTTAAAATTTTTAATTTAGCCAATAGATATAATTGAATTGTAATGATGTCTAATCCCATTAAATTGTGTTACTTATATCAATAAGATAGTTGTTTTTAATTTTTAAATTTAGCAAACATGATTAAAGGATGATTCAATAGAAACCAAATTGATACTATTAGTTGATTAGTTTTTTCCCATAAGGAGTCTCAAGTGTTTTCCCGAAAGAAAATATGATTAAGAAAAATATCTTAATACAAAACTAATCATTCAATAAAAAGAGTCATAATATCTCATACTTAAGCTAAACAATATAAATAATATCTAACAACTGACTTTCGCCGATCCAAATATATATATATATATAGATATATGAATAATTATTCAAACTAAATATTTATAGTTTTTATACCACACAATTTATTAATAAAGTTCTCACATAAATAATAAAATAGACAAAAGTGAGAATAAAAACAATACAAAATAAATAAATAAATAAATTAAAGGATAGAAAAAACATATATCACTTTAATAATTGCAATCAATCATTGAAATGAAGTTTTAAGATATCATATATAATTAATAATTAGATCAATATAGGCTAAAAATGTAGATGTATAGTAGTAGTTATACAAAATATTATAGGACAACAGATACATTATTGATAATTGTAATATGCATTAATTATTCAATAAAAATTCTTTTCAAGTACTATCACAAATTACATGCAAAGATCTATAAATCTAGAGCAATTACATGAAAGTTTATAGACCTAAGTAGATTTTATGTAAAACTATTCGGAAATGAGCCGTAACTCGAATCCAATGGCTCGAATTGGCTCGAAAGAGGGAGAGAAGAGAGGAAGAAGAGAGGAGGAAGAACAGAGGAGAAAGAGGGAGAGAGGATTGTCGCTGCTCGCCTCGCCTCGCCACCGCCACCGCCGTCGCCTCGCCGCCGCCGATCGTTGCAGCACCAGCGATCGTCGCAGCACCACCGCCGTCGCCTTTGGCCCCGCCTCCTCCTTCCCCTGTGATTATGCCTGGGCCCCCTCCAGTCCCTCCCCCTCCAGTCTCTCCTCCTCCCTCCTCCTCCCCTCCTCCTCCTCCTCCTCCCTCCCCTGCTTTTGGTTCTGCTTCACCTTCATCTAAAAAACGAGGCCGTTTTTGAATTCGAGCCATTTCAAGCCGCTCGGTTTCGAGCTACCTATCACTGCCGATATAGACCGTATGTAAATTTATATGAATTTGAACATGTTGCTTAAAAGGATCTATCATTAAAATATATAATAGAATAAAGATGAAAAAAATTACATGAAATTTTATGGCTTTAAATAGATTTCAATTAAAAAAATGATTAATGGATTACTTGTAAAACTCTATATATATTAAAACCTTCCCTAGAGAGGAAAAATAAATAAATTATTGGAGTTAGGAGATATAAAATATTAATATCTTAAAGAAATTTTTATGATCACCACTGCGTTCAAAAGAAAAAAAGAGAGGATGTTGTTGGGGGTTTGTTTCCAATGTTTGGTTTTGTTGGTGGATGTTCAAATTTTTATGGAAACTTAATTTAAAGATAATGCATTTTGAAGGTTTAGTGTTTAAATTCAAATTTAATTTTTGGATAAAGATAAGGAGCTAAAGATATCATAAAAAATTTAAATTTAGAAATTTTGGATTGAGATTTTAGATTGACACCCATAAAGATATTATCTGACTTTATTTTTTATTTTTATATATATAACTGTTGGGAATAAAAGTTGTGGGATTTGTGGGTTATTTTTTTTTTAAAAAAAATTTGAATTTACCTGATATAGTGTTAGACATATAAGTTTCTATATACATATCTACACCTAAAACTCTAAGGAAAGATATTATTTGATTTTTTTTTACTATCTTTTATATAACAATTGGGGAAGAGAGTGAATAGTGAGAGGAGAGTTGAAGGGAGGTGCCACATATTTATTTATTTATTTTAAAATTATGAGAATTTAGGAATAAATATTTAGAAGTTTTTGACAAAACAACTACATTTGGTTATTTAGATAGTATATATAGATAGATAGATGTTTTTTAAGCATATATATGTTTATCCATTTATCAGTAGATTCAGCAGAGCATGTGATGGCAAGCATGTCAAGCTGGTTTGTTCAAATTTCACTATAGGTATGATCATTAATATTATATTGATATAACCAATAAATAAATTAGATGAGATAAAATGAAATAATATCAAGATTAATAATAAACCGATCAAAGGAGTTCAATTTTCTTACCATTCAAATCCACTACTAGGGTAGTAGATTTCATTTTCTAATGTGATCATGGATATGCTTTACATATACAAAGATATTTCAAAATTTAAAGATTTTAGTTCAATTTTTTGCAGTGCTAGTCATCTTGTCTATACTATCTATTCTATTATTAAAAGGGAACACCAATTTTGGTGTCACGAAGCTTAGCTTAGAAATTTTTTTTTTCTGTTTTTCTTAAAATGACCATAACTTCTTAAATAATCTATTATTTTAAACTTATGTCAATTCGTAATTAAGGGTCAAATTGTATATTACTAACTCACTAAATAACTTCCACTAACTCACTAAATAACTTCTACTTTTTCACTTTCCACATTTCACAAACTGCTGTGCAGTTCCATATTTCACCAACTTCTCTCTTCTTCTTTTTTCTTTTAAATTTATAACTATCTGCTGTGTAAATTCTACATTTCACCATCTTCATTCTATTCAAAAACTTTTTCTTTTTCTTTTCTTTTTGGAGAAAGACTATTCAAGTATTCAAGAATTTTTTTCTTTCTTTCTTTTTATTTTTTTAATTTTTTTTTTTTTTGTGTGAAGGAAGACTATTCAAGAACATTGCAATCTTATAGTTTTGTTCAAAATATATATCTACTGCTCATCTTGCGCACTAAGTGTAATATTGTTAATTATAATTTTTATTTTCTTCGTTAAAAAGTTTCATTATGTAATCAGGTTTTTTGGAGAAAAAAAAAAAGCAAAGTATTAAAAGTTTGCTTGTTTGTTTTCTTAATTTTGTATGTGTGTTGTGCGCGTGTTGTTTAAAATAATCAATGTTCTTAAAACTTTTATTATGTTATCAGGTTCTGTAACTTTTTTTTTTTTTGGGGGGGGTGGGGTGGGGGGTTGGGATTCTTTAATCTTAAATTTGTGTGTGTTTAAAAAAAAAAAGTATTCTTAAATTTTCCATTATGTTATCAAGTTCTTTGGGAAAAAAAAAAGTGCAGAATAAGAAATAAAATTTATTTATTTATTTTTTGTGTTTTTTGTAAAGAGAGAATTCATTGTTCTTAATTTTTTTTTTAAAAAACAAACAATTTAAAAATATATATATTTTATTATTGTAAAACGAAAATCCATATGGTACCAAATGCAGCAGAAGGGCGTGAGAGGAGCAATGACTCACAATGTCGTCCAAGATTTTGTCCACTTTCTTTAAAACAGAGCATATTTTTCCCTTTCTTTTTCAATCTCTTATGCATATAATTACCCTATTTAAACCCATTTGCACCATTTTCTTTCTCTCAAAATTTTTTTTAGCTGAAACTTTTCTCTCTCTCAATTTTCTTTTTATTTTATTTATTATTTGAGTTCTAGCGTTGGTTTTTTTTTTTTTTTAAATGAAACAGTTTTTTCATTTTTTTCTCACAATTCTATAACTAAATCTTTTTTTTCCTCATATTTTATTTTATTTTTTTATTATGATATATCAATTGTGATCAATCAATTCTCCACGTTTTTTCCGTTCTTTATCTCAACTTTTTTTTTGATTGAATTTTTTTTTCTCTTTCTCAAATTATTTTAATTTTATTGATGGATTATTGTAGAGTTTCCCCCCCCCCCCAATATAGAGTTGAGTATGCTTTATTTTCGCCCAGAGTTTCTCTCTCAAATTTTATTTTTATTTTATTTTATCTTTTTATTATGATATATCAATTATGATGAATCAATTCTTCATTGTTTTGTCCAATTTTTTCTCTCAATTTTTTTTTATTGAAACTTTTTTCTTTCTCAATTTATTTTTATTTTATTTATTTATTATGATATATCAATTGTGATGAATCAATTCTCCACTATGTTTTCCAATTCTTTCTGTCAATTTTTTTGGACTCATACTCTAAAAAATATAAAAATTAAAAAAGAAAAATAAGATACCTTGGCAAATTATGTACAAATGTAGTTTTAAATTTTATTAAGCAGATAAATTTATAAATTTATGTTGTTTTTTTTTTCTCAAAAACACACACACAAATTTAAGAATAAAGAAAAACCCAAAAAAGAAATTTGTTACCTTTTAATAATAGAATAGACAACAGATAGATAAAGAGGACACCAAAAGTTATTAAAATTAAAAATAGATATATATTTTTTTCATGATCTTTCTCATAACATTATTTGAATTGTTCTTAAAAGAAATTAGAAAACAAAACTTACAAATATACTTGAAGAAAAATTACAATTATTTTGATTTTATAATTTTTTTTTAGTTGCATAAATATGTGCAACATTGTTACAAGGTAATTTACTTATAGGTTTGGATATATAACAAAAGTTACATACTTTATTTTTTGTCAATTCCATCTTATTTTTTGTAGTTTGATATTGTCATATATGTATGTCCATCAAAACAATTTGAACAGAATATTGAACGTGACGTTTGATTTAGACTATGATGATCTATGTCAAAATGTAAGTTTTGAATTTTCGAATTTCCTTTATAAAAAATTTTCACAATATTTACATTTTGGGTCTTTATACATAATAAGTCAATTAGAAAACCAAAGTTATTATTATGCACTATTAATTAAAGCACGTATGTGAACAATTTTGGCTCACTTTAAGAATGTAAAATTGTAATTTAATCAATGTACATTATTAGCAAACTAATTTTTACATATATCTTATATATTTTTTGCAGCAATTGCAGGATCTTCAGCCTCATGTTACCAAATTAAGATTTAATATGAATTTTTGTTGTAATTTTTTTTTAGTTAAGATTAGTAAATATTGTATTTTTTTTAAAGATTTGTACTTCTTTTAATGTACGTGTATTTTATTTATCAAATACGTTAATATTAAATGTTACTTTGTACATAATTATTCATATGATTTATATGTATATTATTAAAAAAAAATAATATCAAAATCATATTATAATTTTAAACGAGTTTGCACACGCATCGCGTGTGCCCGGCCACTAGTTATATATGTGAGTACATGACTTGATGTTTAATAGTGTGGTGGCTTCTCCTTCAGCCACGTGGGAAATTTTCCTATCCTAAAATAAAAAAAATATATTATTTAAATGCGTTAGCAAGATTTGAACCTAAGATCTTGGGTTTCATTAAGAATACTCTTACAATTTAGACAACATACATATTATAATATTAATTTCTTTATTATTTATTTTTATACTCATTTATCTAACCCACTAATTGATATAATTGAAACTACAAGGAATTACGAATATAATTTATATATATAAAAAATAAAAACTCATGAGGTGGTCGTGTAATTTTTCTTAATTAGATGCAAATATTTAAATTAAAAATTAAAAATTAAAAATCTATAAATTTATATTTAAGGCCCTATATCATCCATTTATTATAAAATAAAATAAAAATAAAGACACGAAAGTTGAAAATGGTAGAGAGATGGGCAAGAATAACCCCAGCCGAATAGATTCACAGGCGTTACGGAAGATTGATTTGTAATTAATCAATAATCACTAACACCAAGTGGCAAGCCCCACTAGCCACGACCCATGCCACGTTCTCAAATGCACACCTCTTTAAATCCTCCCCAAAACCACCCAATCAACTCCATCAAACTCTCTCTCAAACACACACAAAAAGAAAGAAAGAAAGAAAGAAAGAAAGAAAGAAAATAGGAAACAAGAAATGCCGGGGCTGACAATCGGAGACACTATTCCAGACCTTGAAGTTGAAACCACACATGGAAAGATGAGGCTCTATGACTATATTGGAGATGGCTGGGTCATTCTCTTCTCTCACCCTGGTATAAAATTTCCACTTGTTTGTTGTTGTTGTTGTGTCATTGTTGGACGCGTTGATTATTATATTATTATATGTGTTTTTGATGTGTGGGGGTTTTTTGGGTGCTCAGGTGATTTCTCCCCGGTCTGCACCACGGAACTTGCTGCGATGGCGGCTTATGCTGATAAGTTTGCTGAGAGAGGAGTGAAGCTTTTGGGCTTGTCTTGTGATGATATGAATTCTCACAAGGAGTGGATCAAGGACATTGAGGCCTACATCGTCAGCTTCAGCTACCCTCTCTCTCTCTCTCTCTCTTGGCTTTGTTTCATTTCATGGGCATTTTTCCGTGCATTCCTGATTTGTGCTTTTTTTTTTTTTTCTTTTTTGGTTCCCTATGTGGTGTGGTGTAGTGTGGTGTGGGTGTATGCATGCAGAATGGGCAGAAGGTGAAATACCCGATCATAGCAGACCCAAACAGAGAGCTCATAAAGAAACTGAACATGGTAGACCCTGACGAGAAAGACAGTCAAGGAAACCCAGTCCCATCTCGTGCTCTCCACGTCATAGGCCCTGACAAGAAGGTGGTTTTCTTTTCTTTGTTTAATTGCTATTTATTATTTGTTGTTTCTGAATGGTAGTAGTAGTAGTAATAATAATAAGTGGTTGGGTGGGTGGTTGTTTTTTTTGGTATAGATTAAGTTGAGCTTTCTGTACCCAGCAAGCACGGGGCGTAACCTGGATGAAGTGTTGAGGGTGGTGGACTCGCTGCACAAGGCATCAAAGCACAAAGTGGCCACACCAGTGAACTGGAAGCCAGGAGAGCCAGTGGTGATATCATCTCCAAACATGTCCAACGAGGAGGCCAAACAAATGTTCCCTCAGGGTTACGACTCTACTGACCTTCCATCCAAGAAAGATTACCTCCGTTTCACCAATGTCTAGAACACCATCCATCATCATCCCATAACGAAAGTTGATCCATATATGGACGCTTGTAAAATAGTATATAAGTACTGATATGAAGTTTAATGTTCTTTTTTTTTTTTTTTTTTTTTTTTTTTTTTTGATTTTAATAGTAGATCGAAATGTCATATGGAGAGCAGTGTGTGAAATTCTCTCTTGTGTGGCTAAGAAACATCCCATCTAAATGCTTTTGTAAATATTTCTTTAATATCTTTATGGAACAACATTAAACTATAGCTTGATATGGAGTTGGGTGCCCATCAAATCCCCCCTCTTCAATCCCATCAAAGGATTGCAGTTGTAATTTGATCAGGATCAAGGTTAAGGCATAACAACTAGTTTATAGGTTGTAAGAAACTAGCTAATCAAAAGACTAGGTCAATTATCCGGGGTGGCCAATCCCGCAAAAAATGTCGCAACTTTACATGGTTGAATCATCCAAGATTTAAATTTTAAAAGATTTAAATTAGAGGACCCTGAAACCAATCTCTCTCCCCTTCAGCCCAAATATCACAAAGAGCATTCACCGCTGAATTTATCGTATATTTTAGTTAGATTTTTACGTAACACACTACATATAGGTTTCAATATATAAATAATGGAATCAACATTCATCAAATCATTACACCAAGTCCAGAAAAATCTTCTACAATTAACTACAAATCATCACCTAACAACATATAATGGCAAGAATCCTTGTATTACGCAACATTGGAAACCTTCCGAAGTAAATGAAAATGCTGACAATTGGATTTGCCATATATATATATATATATACCGTTTTACAGATGATAATATACTTCCAAACACAATTTGTTACCACCCAAAAACTATATTAGCATTCCTTACAAATCATAGCCACTTCAACGTTCCCAAATTTATCAAACAACCGCTCCTACTTTCAGCTTACATAATTTAAAATGACAATGGCTGCAATTGTACCACCAGAAGAAGAAGAAGAAGAAGAAGAAGAAGAAAACACAAAATGTACATCCCCAGTTTCTCTTTTACATATTGCAGATGACAATACCTCAGAAGTAAGACATGTTAGACAATACTTACAAGTCAATACCCAGCACGATTGATTTTTCTTCCCAGACTGTAACCAAAATCTTTTTTACACATTTTTTTGTCAATCTACTACAAATGCTGAAACATCATCATCTGTCGATTTCTTTCTGTACCTTCAACTTGTCAGATTCACTGGCCACTTCGTTGCTCAACTGTAATCGGTTTAGGATACCAAAAAAAAGTCCAAATTTAAGATCAGCACATGGATTTGAAAAATAATTTACTAGGTTAAAGCGATTGTTGAGGACAACCTAATATCAAGTTAATTGAGAGAGGATAATTCAACGACAAAACCTACATATCTTTTGAGTATATATACCAACAGTCCAACTAAATCGGTATGTCATTGTTCAACCTGAGCCCACAACAACACAACAAGCATTTCTTCCAATTACTAGGGTCTACATAATATGTGCATATGAAGGTATGTGCAAAATATATGCCTTGACATAGTGGTGGAATGAAAATAGGAGGGGTGAAACAGTAAAAACAAAACTACTCTCTCTCTCATCAAAGATTTTGTGCGGTTTCCTCCCTACAAGTGAAAATCAAAGGAACATTCATATTCAATAAAGAAGGACACTTAAACCCACTTTTTGAGGAGAGTAATAGAAACGGGGTAGGCCTAGATTAACGTTGACTAGCGTTATAAATAGTGATATGAATCTACTTAATTTGACTAATGAAATGGCCTTTGATAGGGCCGCGTGGAGAAGAAGGATTCATGTAGCCGACCCCATTTGATGGGACTTAAGGCTTCGTTTGGTTTGGTTAATATGTTTCCTACCCAGTTGCTGTTGCTGGTAGGCCAAGTGTAACTATGGAGTTAGGGGGATGTTCCCCTAAAACTTTCTTAGTAAAAGCGGTTGGGTTTTAGAGTGATAAGAGGGGTATCAGGAGACCTAGGCACATATTCATTTGCAAGAGATAAAAAGAAACAAAAAAAAAAAAAAATTGAAGCCCCAAAATGATAAAGGAATCTACATTAAGGTCCTCCCTCTAACAATAAACAAAACAAAATAAAACTCACAGCCCACACAGACTTCAATCATCCTTTGTCAGAAATTTCAATCCTGTAGGGTGAGGTATCAAGCTTGTTAAAACAAATATATTGTTAGATAAAAAATTATTTAGGTTATCTTAATATCATCATAAAGCCACATAAGACATCATAGAATGAAAGTTATCTCATGCAGGTACAAGCAACACTGAATTTTCCTAATATTTAACCAGCAGTTTTGTATCCCCAATGATTATTACTTCTTGTAGGAGGTCAAGAAGTCATGTTCTGCGTTAACAACTCCGCTTAGAGAAAGCCTTTCATGATTTTCTGTTGGAAAATATTTCAATCCCATCAGTTTAGTGTGAAGATGAACCCCAATGGTCTCCATTTATTTAAGCAACCATTCCTATTTATTTATTTATTTTAACTTAATTTGTTCTTCCTAAAAAACAGATTTTCCTACCAAAAAAAAGAGAAAAACAAGAAGCAACTCAAAAATTAATGAATATGGCAGCAGGAAAAAATCAACTACAACCATAAGTTTTTTAATGAAACATACCAACTTTTGCAGCTAAGAAGGTAACTTGCCTTAAAATTCTCAAATTTTGTAACCAGCCTCGAGTACTGATCACATGCTTCTGGGTGGCGAACCATGGATTGGACCCTTGCCAGAGCTTTCACAACTCCTGCAACTTTTTGTTTCCGACCAATTCGTAAAAATTCGTACTCATCATTCTTCTGAGTCTCAGGCACCACATTTTCAATTGTATTTTCCCTCCGAAATCCTCGCAAGCCGTGTCCTTTCCGCCTCCAGCGCAGTATTGCCTTTTCAACTATGCCAACAGACCAAATGAATTTTTTATATTGCTTACGGACTTGATGTCCTCTCACATGCGCCTGAAAGCAATCAGCATAGCAAACAAATAAGCACAACACATCAAACTAAACCAACACACATCTGAGACATACTCCATCAGATGTATTATAAAGGGAGGTAACCAATGAAACTCGGCAGTGCAGATTGATATGGTAAATGGATCTGAACCTAACCACAAAATGTAAAAATAGTATTGACAATAGAAATTCATGTAATAGACAGTAGTTTGAAAGAAATGCAAAACAGAAGTTCACAGTAACCACTTCAAAATGGCAAAAGCTCAAATTCAAAAATGGGTTGGAAAAGCACAAACAAACCAGAAATATCAGCTACATTAAATTAAAGCACAGAATTTTTGAATCATATAAAACATGGAACTCTTCGCAATCACATACACAAGTTGTCGAATAGTGCAAGATAAACAAAAAGTATAGGAATCTAATACATCTTGAAAAACTACAATACACAGAAGCACAAAGAAACAATGTGACAGAAATTTACCTGAATTTTCATAATACGGTTCCGTATCTTCAAAAATTCTTTCCTCCCCTTCCAGCCACGGTACTTCTGCTGGATCTTTATAGCAGCAGAATGCAAATAATCATCAAAATGACTCACCTTCTGGACCTTGTTCAGAGAACCAAGTGCAACAAGGTCAAGTGAAGCTTCAGATATGTCATCGCTGCTCTTAGTTAGTTGCCTATGACGGAATGAACGGGCTCTAAAAGCAGCTTGAAGTAGGGCAGCTGCATGAGCAGATTTTCTAACAGCGGCAAGAGACCTTCTCAAGGAATGTTTCTCATCAATTGCCCTATCTGGTGAAAAAATATTTTGAGCTGCACTCTCCATTGCATTTTCTGCTGCCATACCAGCAGCAACACTGTTTGTAGAATTGTCTCTGAGAGTCAACGAAAGAAGATGACTGGTCAGATCTGCTTCTGCCAAATATCCAGCAATTCCCTTGTGGCCTCTACTAGATGCCAAATCAGCAGCAGTTTGTCCGCCAGGAAATGCTGGTGTTGGATCATCTACGGCACCCGCAGCAGCGCCCAATCTAATAAGTGCAACAACTGTTTCCTCTCTGGTTAAAACCCAAAAAAATATAATTAGCAAAGCAAATTAATAACACCATTCAATTAGCAGAAAAAATAGTGCCAACAACCCAATATGCAAAAATACAAACTGTACACAAGTACAACCAAATATGACTTGAGAATGATTCACTGATACTATAAATATCATGCAACTTAGAAATTTAAAAATTCATGATGGTAAGCTGACCTCCCATAGTATGATGCCCAGTGAAGTGCTGTCCTTCCTCGCGCATCTCTGAAATTTGGACTGACACCGGCAGCTACTATCAGGCCCACGGCCCACACATAACCAAGAGTGGCTGCCAAGTGAATAACACCTTGCCCTTCATTGTCCAGAATATGCGGTCCTTTAACTTCATGTACTTTACAGATTAGCCATTCATAAAGTCTGTTCTTCAGCAAATTCTGAATCAATATATCTGAAGGGCTAACATTATATCCTTCAAACATCATAACAGCATGCTCAATCCTTTTCCAATCATTTTGTATATCAATTTTAAATGAATTCAGATCCTTTTCCAGCTTACATTTATCACATTCAACCATGGAGCAATCAAACCTGTTCTTCCCTGAGCCAGCATATAGCATTTTTGCTAGTTGTATTTGAAAACGCATTTCATCTTCTGGTGCACTTTTAGCATTTGCAGAAGATGCAACTTCTGACAGTTTTTCAAGATATTTAAACTCGCGCACCTCACTGCAGGCCAACCTATTACTGCATGTTATATAGAACGGAACACGCCCAGGAGCATGAAAAGGAACTTGACATCGAATAACACTATCAGTCAGAACTTCAGCAGCAACCTCGATTTCACCAAACATACAGCACCACTTAAGACTACCAGAATGCTTCTTGTCCCCCAGAAATGTACCAGTGATTAAAACCTGAGGAAAAGTAGTCATTATGAACCATCATCATTCAGCATCTATAACTCAAGCATCACGCATTTACATAACATTTTTGAGTTGAATGAAAATCACTTGTTCAAAAATGCGTACCTTTGTTTCAATTCCCGAATAGGCCCAATCTGGAGCAAAATCACAGATACTAAATAGTTGCTCTTGAGAAAGAGAAGGACCCAGTGAATCAATATCCAACTGCATTTGACGCGACAAACTGGATACTTCCTTGTCATCATTTTCTGTATCAAGTGTATTCCAATAATTGCCAGAGTCAGAAGCCATCAAAGAATCGTCACAATCTCCACCCATTTCTTTGTCCATCCATCTACCAAAACTGTCAAGTTTCTTTAGCTCCCCAGCTTCCACATTATTTGCTCCTGCTACTTGAGCATCAACTTTGGGAGTGGAAGTGCCTATTGCCTGAGAACCAGAGTGATTCTGATACTGGGGCTGATTAAAATCATGCTCCTGTGACAATAAAACATAGTATTAGTGTCACCTGGTCTGCCCTTTAAATACAAGATGATGATAGACACACCACATAAATATAGAGCAACCACGGTGGGCCATCTTACTACCTTACACAATAGACAGACTTAAGATCAAGTTCAGGCCCATAGAGCAGACCAGTGAAAGATCAACAAAACAAATGGCCTAGTATAGTTAGCAATTCCATGACACATGCAGTACTGGGCTTCTGCAGAACCTATTTACTGCAGCCAAAAATACAATTCTGAATATTTCCCCCACAACTTCCTGTCTCCTTCCTCCCCTTCTGCCAGCTTGCCCTTCCAAGATCAATAACCTTTTATTGCATGAGATATGTTCTTTGCAACGAGGAAAGTTCATGCATGGTTTTCTTTTTAATTTTAGTGACAATAAATATGCTTTTTTTCATCTTTTTTAGGCCACAGCTAGGTTTCCATTCAAAACCAATGAGCTTGTTTGAATGCTAACTTGTGATGTAATTTGAAAAAACAAGAACAATTTGTCAAGTACTTGGTTCAAATTTCCTGAACTCTGAGGTTTACTGTTTGCTTTTTTATGGATTATTACACTCAAGTCCATAAATGATGAATTATTCATACCAAGTTCATTAAATGTAAAAATTTTCTTCTGAAGTGTTTAGAAAGAAACCTATTTTTAAATTGATCTAAAACACGGGCAAAAAGCATTTTTCACCTTGTCCATCGCTCCACCGCTGCCACCATGTCCTCCTTCCCCCTCCTCCAGCCTGCCCCTCCAAGATCAATTACCTTCTTTTGAATGAGCATATGTTCTTTGCAATGAGATTCAAGCATGGTTTATCTTGACCTCTTCTTTAAAATTTTAAGAAAAAAATTCTCTTGTTGTCTTTTGTATTTGAAGATAGAGGGTATACCAATTGGGCGTGTTCAACAATGACTTGTCATACATGCAGCCAAGGTAATTATCCGAATAAAATAAGAAGAAACAGAAATTTTATTGCCAATAAAAAAGAAACTATTTTGGATTAAGATAATCTAAATAATGGTCTCACGTCTGCTGTTCACAATTCAAAGTTGTCTCTAAGCCACATGTATGTGTGAACTGAGAATAAAAAAAAGGGGAGAGCGAGAGAGGGGCTGTGGTGGTGAAAGGGGAGGAAGGGGGTGGCAGCAATGGTTGCATTGAAAAAATATATATTTTTGCCCATGGTTTTGGCCTATGAAGCACGGATACTTCAAAAAGGGTGATGCATCCGTATCGGATACTTATCGGATACTTATCGGATACCGATACTTCTCGGATACTCGCGGATACTTCTTAAAAGTATCAGATACTTCTTAATTAATTTTTTATTAATTTTGAAGTATCGGATACTCGAAGTTATATATTACTTACAATATTTTGTTTAGTTCTTTGATAAGAGGAATATAGTGAGAGTTAAAGTAATAGAATTTGTCAAATTGATGTATCCTTTTTCACTCTCTCACGTTTCTTCTCTCTCGCTTTTTCACTCTCTCACGTTTCTTCTCTCTGCTCTCATTCTTTTTTTGGTGTTGGCATGTAAGGATTATGTTTAATTTGCATTTGCTTTTGCTTTTGCTTTTGCTTTTGCTTTTGCTTTTGGTTTTGGATGTTTTATGAATGTTTGAGCACTTTTAGGTTAATAGGAATCCCTCTCCTTATTTATTAATTTACTTTAAGTTTTATTTTCATGCATATTACATTATTAAAATTATATATAAAAAAAAATTATGAATGTATCCCCACTGTACCCGTATCGTACTTTTTCAAATTTTGACATATCGCCATATCCACATCCCCATATCACCATATTCGTATCCGTGCTTCCTAGGCTATCATTGATGACTTAAAAAAGTATATTTGCTGAAATTTTTATTTAAGAATGGTTTTTTGGCTTTAGCTAAGGTCTTGTGATATTCAATGATGAAGGGGAACAAGTTGAACCTATTGACCTTGAAGACTCTTAGTTTTATAGGAATCTTTCTTCTTTATCAAGTTGTCTTTTGTTTTAGGTTTTATTTTTATGCATATTGCATTACTAAAAATTGTTTAAATAATATTTTTTATGAACGTATCCCCGCCGTACCCGTATCCTAGTTTTTCAAATTTTGTCGTATCACCGTATCCGTATCGTATCGTATCCGTATCCCATATCCGTATCCATGCTTCCTAGGTTTTGGCTAATTTATAAATAAGTTCCAATGTAAAGACGTCATAAGAAATTCTTACAATTCATAGACTTAGTAATGAGTAGTTTGTCATTATAGAATAATCCCTCCTTTATACACTTCGACTTCCTACATGATAATGTTAAATCAGAATCACCAACATTTTTAAGAATGTCCAGAATTACACACTTCTAACAGCATATTATCACATAATTAAACTTTCACATAATCAGGGGCAAGAAGAAACAATGAAGAAGACGATTATCTAAACATCTTTATTCCAATAAAAACTCCAAAAACATGATTAGTTACACCAAGAAAATTGGATTACATAATATAAATAAGGTCATGCAAACGACAGCTCATTGGGCTGTCAATAAGGGGAATAAAATGTCAAATAAATTAGAATTTTAAGTTATTTTTCTATACAATTTTCAAACGATTCAATGTGCTTTTTGCACGTTCAGATCGAGGCTAATGCAACACTACAGATGGTCATTAGAATTTTCCTATAATTGAAATTTTCATAGATCAGATAGCTGTTCAATTGCCAATTTATTGGCAAGTGTAAAAAAAGCCAAAAAGTCAAAAAGTTACAAAAAAAGTTAAAAAATTATCACTATTCATCAAAAAATATATATAAAAAAATTAATATACAAATATTAAATACAAATCAACTTTTTCTCCCATCAATGTACTAATGTCAGGCCAGCTTCAGTGAAAGGAAAAAAAAAAAAAAAATTGCATGTGTACATTCACTAAGTTGGATGGTAAAGTTGGGCCCGTTGGGGCCCACCATGGGTCCCTTTTTGATAATCCGAACCGTTGAAGATATAGAACTCATCTAATACTATATGCTTATAAAATTTCACTTCTATCGGATATCGCTGACTACATGATCAAATCAATTTTGTATAAAAATTGGATGTGTTATAGTTAACAATTGACAAAAAAAACTAACACGATCAGATAGTTATCGATATCCAATCAACGTGATTTTTTACGAGCATATAGTACTCGACGAGTTCTACACATTGAACGGTTCCGATTAGAAAAAACGGGACCCGTGGTAGGCCTCACAGGCCGAACAACACCGTCCAATTAAAGCCCGAAAAGAGGCAATTTTTTTCCATGTATTCACCCAGCCGACTGACTGGTGTACTACACTATCTTCTCCTACATACTTATTTATACAATTTTTTAATACACATTTTTTCATAAAAAGTCAAAAAGTTAACCCAAACATCCATATTTTTTTTCTCAACTTTTTAGTTCAAAAAGACAAAAAGTACACTTATTTAGGACAACCCAAACAACCCCTTAGAATGAATTCAAGTCAAAAGTGAACATCATAAGTGTACTGAATATTGGAAGGATAAAATTGGAAACATAAAAGATTTGTTCTTATATGAGAAACGATCATGTAAAAGAAGCACTTACTGGCTCTTATCCAAAAAAATAAATAAATAAAAGGACTTATTGATCTCCCCGAAGTTATGTGCCTTGCACTGATCAAGGCAGATGGATCAACTGATGGATCTTTTGGAATTTTTGTATGGTCTGCATTCTGCGAGGTAGGAAGGATTCTTTGTTATGGGATGGGCCAAGATCCAAAGGGGTTTTCTCAGTGTCTTCGTTCTATGGCGTGCTTGCGGGTGGTGATGATGTGGTGTTTCCTTGGAAGTGTATTTGGGGGGTGGGGTCTCCATCCAAGATAGCTTTCTTTGTTTGGATGGCAACCTTTGGGCACTTTTGACCATAGACAATTTAATTCGTCGTCGGCATGTTTTGGTTAATTAGTGTTGTTTGTGTTGTGCGGATGTGGAATCAGTGGATCACTTGCTTATTCACTGAACAATTGTGTCTCAACTTTGGATGTTGTTGGTTGCAACTTTTGGCTTGGTGTGGGTGCGACCAGGTTCAATTTTTGATGTGTTGCAAAGTTAGGGAGGGGATAGGGTTGGGAAGAGGTGTCAGAAGGTTTGGATGCTTGCTTCCCATTGTTTATTGTGGTTGGTTTGGTTGGAGCGTAACAGGCGTGTTTTTCAAGGCGTGCTTCATTCAGTCCCTTGATTAGAGAGCCAGCTTCTTATGGTGTTGCATAGTTGGGTTACGGGGTTCGATTGATCCTGATGTTTTGGCATTTGTAGATTTTGTTGAGAATTTGATTAATTAGTTGTGTTGAAGATTTGATTAGTTAGTTGTCTTGGTCCCTTTGTAGGTTTATTTTTATATTCTTTGCATTGCCTTTATGCTTTTTCAATAAAGTTTGATTATTTATCTCAAAAAAAAAAATTTATTTCTTACCAGCTCTTAAAAGGACAAAGTGAGACTAGTCTGTACTCTTATAACACCCTCTACACTCCAAAAACCTATGAAGCATGGGTGCTTCAAAAAATATGCCGTACCCGTACCGGGTACTTACTTGCGTATGGTATCTAATATGATACTTCTGCATACGTACCGGGTATATGAAACACGTACCTAAATTTTTTCTTCTTAGTTTTTGACGTATCTAAACGTACCTAGTATATCCCCAAGCCATACCGTAGCTCAGTCGAAATAATTTTTTCTTCTACTACAGAGATAAAACTCCTTTCATTAAATTTCTTTTTTATTTTTATTTTTAGTTTTATAATTAGAATAATTTTAAAATTAAACTATGGTTTGTGAGTTATTTGATATATAGACATTTAAGGGGTTGTTTAGGGTGTCCTAAATAAGTGCACTTTTTGTCTTTCTTGACTAAAAAGTTGAGGAGAAAAATATGGATATTTTGGTTAACTTTTGACTTTCTATGAAAAAAAAAGTATATTAAAAAATTGTATAAAGAAGTGTATAGGAGAAGATTAGAAAGGTATGTTGTACAGCCGTACAATCTGAGGGGTTGAATTTATGGTAAGAAATTATTGGCTATTTTTTGGGCATTGCACTGAACAATTTTGTTCGGCCCGTGAGGGCCATCACGGGTCCCATTTTGATAATCTGAATCGTGCAATGTGTAGAACTCGTCGAGTACTATATGCCTATAAAAAATCACGTTGATCGGATATCGATAGCTATCTGATCAGATTTGTTTTTTTTCAATCGTTAATTATAACACCATCTATTTTTTTATACAAAAACTGATTTGATCATGTAGTTATCGATATCCGATCAATGTGATTTTTTACTGACATATAATACTCGACGAGTTCTATACATTAACGGTTCAGATTATCAAAACGAGACACGTGATGGGCCCCTACGGGCCGAACAGCAGTGTGTGAAAAGTGCACCCAAACTGTGTTACTTTTCTTAACAAACGCTACACAGCCATACAATATACATGATTGCTGAGTTGTATGGATGTGTGAAAAATTAATTTTTTATTGGGGAGATGCCAAACTTGGCCTTAATTTTGATTTATACCTTTATTTTTTGCATTAAATGTTAATTATAGGTTGGATCTTAACAAATTAAACCATTTAATTAATTTTTGCATTAATCTAAATTAAAAATAAATATTTTTTTTACAAGCGTACCAAGCCGTACCCGTACCCTTACCCTATTTTTTTTAGATTTTACCGTATTGACGTATCCGTATCGTACCAGTACCAATACTCGTACCCATACCCATGCTTCATAGCCAAAAACAGAAACATCAGATACAAAATAATGGTATCGGGTACGGATGTTAGGTTTGGGTTGCCCAATGGGATTCCAAGTTGCCCAATTTATCAAGTAGTGTCCATTTCTTTTTTATTAGAGGCTCCAGCCTAACTGATTAAATCTCCTCATATAAGGAATGTAGGGACAAAGCTAGGTAGTCAAGGGAAGCACAGCTCTAAGAGGTCAAAAAATAAGGGTTTTGCAGCTCTAAATAAAATTACGATTTTTGGGGAATTGGATGTAGTCGTGTATTCCGCCACTTCGAGACTCTCTTTCGAAGGTGAGATCACCACCGGCTTTGAGAAAAAATCGCTCCTAAATGCATGATTGGGCAAAGATATGCGTCTTCCAAGTAAACTCCCTAGTTCAAGAACACTGGGACATGGTGAATATTCATTTTTTAAGGAAAAATGTGGTTTTTTTTTTTTTATGTAAAATAGAGCATTAAGCATAGGCACGTCACTCATTTTGAACCAAGAAAACAAAATAACCCACAAGTTTGTTAGGCACGTGTCCAATCAGATATATCAGATACATATTCCTCAAAATTACCCAAGCATTGAGCATCTGAAACAGGTACTTCAAACATTTAAAAGAGTCCATAAATCATAGAAAATCAAATAGTTAGTCAAATGTAGACTAATAAAAAAACATGTAATGTAGCTAATACCATAATGGAAATCACACTCCCATTCAGCCTGAATCCTTATTTTCACTATAGCAGTCACCAGTCTTCCTAGATAATACAATAATGGAAATCACACTCCCATTCAGCCTGAATCCTTATTTTCACAATAGCATTCACCAGTCTTCCTAACATTATTACGACTAAACCATCTGACTCTCTAACCACCCCAAATAGATTTACCAAAGTCTATTGAACATTCTCTTCTCTTAGTTAAATGGCCATTCACTCTCCTCTCCCCTCCAACCCAAAAACCAAGAAAAACTTAAAAGGGAAAAATTGAATCTTTGTGCTTATCCATCTCAAAATGTTCATGCAAGCACATGGACCTTTACAAACTTCTCATATTTAATAAAATGTCTACTCAAAACCTTAAAAAAAGGGATCAGATGACCACCAGCACACTTGAAATGCAATGTGGGGTATACACAACATACCTGAGCTGTTCTCTGACCATCAGGAATCAGCCTATCTCCACAGCTTACATCTTGAACTGTGTTATCAGCATCTAATCTGGCATCTGTCAACTTATGAGTCAAGAAATCAGCTGCATTCAGTTGTTCAGAGTCAAGTTTCTGCTCACCCGTACTACTTAAGTTCCCGCGCGAACCACATATATCAGCACAGATGAATGAGCTAGTACCATGATTAAAACCAGCTCCAACAAACCCTGCATCAAGATGAACTCTTGATAACTCCTGAAATCCTGAAAGCAGAAAACCACTCACATCATTTTAAATCCCAGAACCAAAGTTTTAAAATGTGTTATTGAAGCTTGCCTCAAGGTGAGGCTAAGATAAAATGAATAAAGGCTTTAATTTTTATGTGAGACTCCCCAAAGACTTGCACATCATAGTCTATGGTGTGTGTCTCAGGTGCACCTTGTACACTTTTTGCACAGAATCATATGAGGAGTACACATATGGAGAGCTTATCTTGAGTTGTTGTACATTGAAACTTTTTTTTTTTTAATAACTAAATGTCCAAGGCAACTTGCACACACCTGGACTAATCCTAGGATCCAGAAGCTAACGACCAGGTAAACCTCCAAGAAGAAGTGTTTTTTTAACTATATTTCATGGAAAAAATCAAGTAAATGACCAACCAAAAACAAAACCTAAGGCTCAAATGAGAAGAGTGATAACTGAAGCTAAGAATGTTGATTTCACCTTCGAGAAGAAAAGTGGCAACTGAAGCTAACAATGCCTTGAGAAGAAAAGTACTTACACCTTCATATTTAATTTTCACTATTTTACATATTTTATTTACTAATCAATTTGACACACTTACCCCTCACTGTCTTGAAGCTTACGTCTCGCCTCATGTTAAGCATTCATTTGTAAAAACTTTGCCCAGAACTATTTATCATATATTCTATCCCTAAAAGCAAATCAATCCTTTTACTTTTTATGGAACGTATGAAAGCGGCTTGTTCAAATATTTCCCTAAGATCCCATCATCTATAAATTTAACAATAAACTATTATGGTAAATTATCAAATTCAAGCAAATTTTCAAATGAACATATCCCACAAGCCATCTATAACTGTAAGCGAGGGAAACAAAACAGGAAAGGAAGGGGAGAGGAATATAGAATTACAAGGTTCAAGTACACAAGAAAGCCTAAATGAACCAGGATGGGTAAAGCATGGCTGGGGGGCAACATTTGATGAGGAGCACCACACCCACCCCTTTAGCAAGTACTAAAATAAGATCCTTTTTCTTTCCCTTTTTTTTTGTCATTTCTAGTATGTTCAATAAAATGACAAAAAAGGCCATTACCTAGCGCTCATTACTATGGAAGGAATAAAAGTGTACGATGACCCAATAACTCCATTTCCAATGCTCATTAATACAGCTTATGGTCCTTATTATAAGAACCAAGTTCAAGATTTCAAGAAAATAAAAATGATAATAATAGTAATAGAGTGGAAAATAAGAGCATTCCAACAGAACTTCACCTGTAGCTTCATTGGCAGGCGCAGAAGCATTTACAGAAACATGAATTGGTTGAGCAAGAGGAGAGGTCCCTGAACTTGATGCATTGGTTGGATCTCCTTCAGGATTCCCATTAAATGCTGAAAAAAAATTTCGTTCATTCCAATTTATCGAATTTGGACTTGATGTATAAGAAGTTTGACCTGTTGGAATAGGGGAGTTTGTTTGTTCTGAGCAAGGTGCTGAACTAACTTCAGGACTTCCAAACTGTGACCCTGGATCTGCATTAAGCAAGCGCGAGCCACCTAATTTGCTGCCCTGTATAGCATGTATCAGAGATAATCAACGTATTGTAGGCAAAAACCAGGAATTCAAGATGAAGTAAACCAACCATTCCAAACTCAACCAATGAATAACAGAATTTGCAAATCTTTAAATGGCCAATAATAACAACATAACATACATATGTAAGGGGGCTACACAAGCTGCAGAATGGAAGCCTTATGCAACTGCTTCAGTATTGCTCAGTATAAGGAGATATAGAATCATTTTACAATGATTATAACCAAAAGTATTAGCAACTTCCAGAAGTTTGATTGAAACCAAGTAACTGAAATTATAATCGGCTAAATTTTGAGAGATTCTACTTAATAACATCCATCAGTTGCTAGATGACCATCTTTTGCCATGTGCCGGTTTTTGTTTCTGTTTCTTTATTAAGTTTTTTCTTGTCATAGGTGGGGGAACCAAATGGGTTGGGGTGTAATTAGGTGGATCAAGCTCTGCAGCCATTTAATTAGACAGTTTTGGAAAGAAGAGCCAATTGCTCTATATGGTTTTAAAATTCCAGACAAGACTGAACATTTAGGAACACCTGAAGGCCACATTTAAAAATTGGTGCAGAGAATCACCTCTTTCACTTCTCTGTAGTGCACAAGGACAATGTTCTCTAATTCCCTGAAACAAGGGGAAATGGGGTGAAAGTAAGAATTAATGCAGAAAAATCATTATACCATTACACAAAACTGGAAAAGATTGGAAAGTTAAAATTTATATAATTGCTTAATTATTCATAAGATAGGCTGACAAAGTAAAACTTGCACATTGACAGCAGAATGAACCCCAAAGGGTGAACTTGCAATTGAGATACAGTGCCCAACTATGCTTGCTAACCTAAAACCCCAAAGGGTATTGGTCGATGGAACCCCAAAGGGTATTGGTCGATTAAGACAGCAAAACGGTGACCATAAAAGTCGAAATTCCTAAACAAATGTGCAACAACTCACTTGCAGACTCATCTAGTCTCAGAAAAGGATGGCAGTGAAGCATGCAACCTATTCCAGCCTTTGTGGTAAGCGCTAGGTCCCGATGAGTTGGAAGGTGCAACCGTTGTTGCAAACATTGAACACAAGCACGAGTCAGGCAGCCATTGGTGTGAAACTTGGTAGTACCAAATATTCAAAGTTCCCAAGGGATGGCCAACAGAGAACGCGTTCAACGCAAGCTTCAAAGGAAATTGGGTTAAAATTCGTGAACCGATACGTGGCGGATGGCGACAATGTAGGGAGTTAGGAGATGTTGGCAAGTGCTTCATGAAGAGTTATCTTTTTTGTTTAACAACCTTCCACTGGAATGACTCAGCCAGACATAAGGCCTAGCAACTAGAAGAGCACTGCACATCGCACAATGTCCAATGCACCCTTGGCAGCCCTTGAAAATTGTTGAAGTTGACAAGAAAATAATTCCAAATGAAAATTTTCAAACCTATAATTTAAGAAATTGCCACACTAGAGATGTCAAAGTAGACCAGAACAATTTTCCTCATAAGAAGATCAATTTGTCTATCACAGCATATGTTTGTTTTCACTTTTCCTTTTGGAAACTACTTTTCTTCATGTGTGTTTTTGTTGGGGAAGGGGAAAAGGATGGGTGGAAAATTAGGTTTTGAAATACTAACTGATTAATCAGTCATGAGTCAGTCAGCCATGAAGAGACTCATGAAACTCGAGTAATCCTTGATACTGATATCATCCAACACCAATTCAGTATGAGCAGTACCTTCTTTGTGCACAGGCAACCATTTACAACTCAAACTACAATCATGTTGTCACATTAAGAAATGTTTGTTCAAAACTACGTAAAGTTTTCATGGGCATAAACAATATCAAAGCAACAATACTCACCCATCAAGCATCCAATAACTGCGTCGCTGAAAGTTCTCATTATCTTCTCCGTGGGCATAGTAGCAATGAAGGACATCAACACTGCCAGCCTGTAAAAACAGATAGATTAGAAATCATATAATTGTAACTTGTAAGCATACAAATTTATGCTAATATGATTAAAGGAACCTAAGGTCAAACCCAAAAGTTCCTCCCACGTCTGAAATTTACTTGATCATCTGGAATACTTAGCTGCATTGACTGATTGGACAGTTTAAATTGCTACAAATGACACTCTGCAAATAACATGGCCTACTACTCTCAGCTCAATTCAATTTCGATCTACAAAATCTCGCTAGAGGGTAGCAATTTCTCAAACATTCAATGAGGGTGCTCGGTAATCATGTACTAAATTTAATCAACTATACAAGCTTGGTGCTGCGTGGAAGACAACTACAATGTTCAGGGTTATACAACTACAACCTTTGACTACAATGTTCAGGGTTATACATAAAAAAGTGAACTTACAACCAATAGAATAGATAGCACACCTTCAACTTTTCATGAGCTTCTTTCACAGTTTTCCCGTCTTTTTTCTTCCTCCAACGATGACCATCTTTTCGAAAATATCGAAGTACTTTTCGATCAAACAAGAACAAAGAACCAGCTGAAAATTAAGAAGAAAAAAAAAAAATCAAGTGCTGTTTGCAAATATCATTAGAACTGTCACTGCATCACTTCTTAGAAGGAAAAGTAAAAAATTACTGATATTATATCAGAGATTAACAGTACATAAAAGAAATTACCTTCCATAAAAAAATTTGATTAGTAAATAAAACCAGTAGACCTCTGTACACAGGGAGAAAGCTGAAAACCATATGCTATCAACAAAACTCAACTCCTCAAAAGCCCAAAATAAAAAGTACGCAACTTCCATGAATTGTTTTGCATGTAAAAGTTAAAGCATGAAATACAACTTGATGCACACAAAAAATAAATAACAACAAACCAAAAATTAATAGATGCAGGATGTGTTCAAAGAATTGAAATAGAACCATAATGAAATTACATCATTCTCCTGCATAGATAGCTGAAATAAACAAGGGAAATGCAATCACGTTTAATAGGAAAGAATCAAGGTGTCAGAAATTACTCAAAAAAAATTATTTTTTTTATTTTTTTTAAGTAATAGAGATTTAAAGGGCAAATTACATATACACCCCTCGAGGTTTGGCTAAATTACAGATACCCCCTGAGGTTTCAGAAATTACATCCCGCCCCCTGAGGTTTGTATTTTCATAACAATTTGCCCCCTGAGGTTTATATTTCATAACAAATTACCCCCTAATTTCTTATGCAAATATAGCATTCAGGGGAGAATTCGTAATTTCTCAAACCTTAGGGGGGCATCTGTAATTTAGCCAAACCTCGAGGGGTGTATATGTAATTTGCCCTAAGAAGAAGAATACTTCTATATCAGCTCAAAATGATAAAGTCTGAAAACACCATAAAAGCAACAAAAAAGCCAGCCTATCCAAGACTCTAATCAATAACCCTGGGCAGCCAGCATCAAGCCCCTGTACCTCCGTCTACTCCAACCCCCATTTTGTACATCATAATTAATGGTGACTAAATTCTTTTTAACTCCCTTCCACATATAGCTTTGCTTCCCCCACTCCACGTTGCAACCAAAGTTGCAAACCATCCCTCATGATCTAGTTGATAGAAATAAAAAATAAAAATACTGTTACTTTTGCAGGTAGATTTTTAAAGTTGGTACCATGCATGATACTTTAGAGAAATGCAAAAACAAAGACCCCGTGTTCATCCAAAAATTATCATAAACTTACGCAAATTCAACCTAAAAACCAAAATAAATAAATATGATCAACAATTCAAGTACAGAAGAAAATTTGACAATGTAGATTGTAGAAAGACAACCAGTAAATAACTACAATTGCAATTCCAAATATTAAACATCATACATTGTGCCTATATTAAACTGTTGAGTTGAAGCATGTAAGAATGGTATTGGTGACAACCTGGTGGCCTAATAGGTGGTTCTGGTGTCAAGTGAAACTTTTCGTGGTTCCGAAGAACTTCACAGATTTCAGCAGGTTTTCGGCATGCCTGACATCTCTTAGCATAGGCCATACAACCCTTCCTTACTGTAGGCCAAAATAAACCGTACTTGTGATCATTCACCTCATTTTTTTCTAGCTTAATAGGCACCACATATGCTTTCATACACTTCATCCATTACTTTCATCTGTTCATTTTGGCTAATGTATAATAAGGTCATACCATCATGGGCTCTATTGAATAGTCATATCCCATGATGACATAATTCAAGGTTTGATACTTAATCTGCCTACTAACCTTCTCATTGGCATTTATAAAATATTTGATCAAAGGATGTCTCCAATCCTCTTATGCCACTTCCAAATTCATTACTGTCACGAAATTTCTCTTTGGATCCCAATTATTCTTTATTGGAATCCTTTAGGAATCTTTAAACAAGAAGCCACTTGAGCCATTTCTTAGCCTCATTATTCTCCAATCGAAACATGTGCTAAAATGTCACATGGCTGAAGAAACTCACCAACCATTTAACCTCAACTAAATACTCTTCTAAGGCCTTGTTAGTGCACTTGTATTCACCTTTAACTTGCTTGATAACCAAATGTGAATCACCAAAAACTTGCAAACTAGTGATTATGAATTCTATAGCCAATTCTTAAACCTATAATCAAGGCCTCATACCTAGCTTGATATTTGATAAGACATGTCGTTCATCTCAACTAGTAAGAAAATTGATGTACTTGCTCATTAGGGGCAACAAACACAACACCAGCTCCAACCCCTTCCTTAGTTCTAGAGTCATCAAACATTAGTCTACAAGGGGTGTTTTCTATACAATTAATTTCAAATAAGTCCTCATTAATAGATAACAAGGGTGTTTAGCTAAGAAATCAACCAAAGTTTGGCCTTTTACGACTTTTTGAGGGACATACTTGAAACAATACTCTATTAGAGCCAACAACCATTTGTCTTGTCTTCCCCTCATTATGGGTTTAGACAACATGTACTTGATCACATTAGTTTGTGCCACCACAAATACTTCTGAGGGGAACATGTAATGCCTTAACTTAATGGCAGCAAAGTATAATGGCAAGCATAATTTCTCCATTGACTTGCTAATTCAAATGATAGAGCAAGCAACAACGAGGTGGAAAAAAGGCATGTTTCCAATCATATTGCAAAGAAAAATACTGCAAATGGCTACCAGTTATGCTCTTGTCTCTTAGAAACATCAACAAGTTATAGAGAAGGAAACAAGGAAAGTAAAAAGAAAAAATGTTAGTGGTAAATTGTACTTACAATTTTTTTTTTTTTCTTTTCAAACTTGTTCCAGTTTTTCTTTTTAAATTTTTAGGATGTAGACTAGAAAGCAAACTATTTTTACTCAAAATTGGAAAAAAAATTAAAAAATAAAATAACGTATTCAGGGTTGGTTTGAGTAAAGTGTAGAAAATTCATATTTGAGAAAACAAAAAGAGAACAAGAGCATAGCTGCGAAGCAAAGAACAAGAGAGAAGGGCATTGAAATTGATTTCTGTCCGACTGTCTCTGTATCAATAGAATTTGGGTAAAGTAGATAGAGAGATAGAGAGAGTACCCAGCGAGAACATCGAAGTTGTTAGCAACGACCTTGAGGAAGCTTCCAGCCCAGATCCCATCTCCACCACTCCACGATCTCACTCTTTCTGAATCAGAAGAAGAAGATAGAAACTGTTAAGAGTGAGTGAAGGTTTCGATCGTCGGTTTGTGAAAGTGGTTTTTCAGATTAATTATGAGAAAAGAAAATGATCTTCCAGGAATTTTAGCATTTGGATTGGCGAAATGTTAGTGGTAAATTGCTATAAGATTTTAGGGGTTTGTAATGGCAGTAAGACAGCCTTGGATTAACCAATCCAAGTCCAAATCCAACCAAGTATCTCAAGGTAAAAGAGGACCTGTTTTTAATATAGAGGAGGAGAGAGAGAGAGACCGAGATCGACAGAGACGGAGAGACCGAGATAGACGGATCGACAGAGAGATCGGCAGAGAAAAGAGAGAGACCGAAATCGACGGAGATCGACAGAGAGAGACCGAGGTCGACGGAGATCGACAGAGAGACACGAGATCGACGGAGATCGACAGAGAAGAGACAGATCGACAGAGATAGACCGAGATCGACGGAGATCGACAGAGAAGAGACACAGATCGACAGAGAGAGACCAAGATCGAGAGAGATAGAAAAAAAACCTGCAACAGCGGCAGTGTGATTTGCGGCGGTGGCGATGTGCGACGGTGGCCAGCGATGGTTGGGTGGTGAGCGGGAGTGAGGTTTGGTGGTAACTGTTCTGTGTGTGTGGGTGAGAGAACAGAACAGAGAAACCGTTGGTGGTAACTGTTAAGTGGTTGTCCCAAAATGTTTACTCCTTCTGTGTTTATGAACCTTGAAACGAAGACTTACTCCTTTTTATGGTTATGTTGGTGGTAATTGTTCAGTGATTGTCACAAAATGTTTATTCTTTTTGTGTTTATGAACTTTGAAATGTTTACTCCTTTTGTGTTTATGAATCTTGAAATGAAGACTTACTCCTTTTATGGTGGTAACTGTTCAGTGGTTGTCCCAAAATGTTTACTCCTTTTGTGTTTATGAATCTTGAAATGAAGACTTACTCCTTTTATGGTTAGTGAACTTATACGTTTTGTAAAAATAAAATTTACACATTTTGTGAAGTTATTTACATCTTTTTTGAAATAAGTTATTCATTTTGTGTAAGAATTTTTGGCATAACATTTATACTTTTTCTTCGAACTTATACCTTTTGTGGAAGCCCAACTTAAAACTTTTTCGGAAGTCACTTATACTTTTTGTGAAAAATAAATTCATCAAATTTATACCTTTTGCTTAAGCTTATACATTTTCGTGGAAGTGCTTATATTTTTTTTGAAAAGTTACTCTTTTTGTGTAAGAATTTTTGGCATAACATTATACTTTTTCTTCGAACTTACACCTTTTTGTGGAAGTCCAACTTAAAACTTTTTCGGAAGTCACTTACACTTTTGTGAAAAAATAAATTCATCAAATTTACATCTTTTGCTTAAGCTTAACCTTTTTGTGGAAGTGCTTATATTTTTTTTTGAAAAAGTTACTCCTTTTGTGTAAGAATTTTTGGCATAACATTTATACTTTTTCTTCGAACTTACACCTTTTTGTGGAAGCCCAACTTCCGAAAAAACTTTAAGTTGGCTTCCCACAAAAGGTGTAAGTTCGAAGAAAAAGTATAAATGTTATGCCAAAAATTCTTACACAAAAGGAGTAACTTTTCAAAAAAAATATAAGCACTTCCACGAAAAAGTATAAGCTTAAGCAAAAGGTGTAAATTTGATAAATTTATTTTTTCACCAAAGGTATAAGTGACTTCCGTAAATGTTTTAAGTTGGACTTCCACAAAAGGTGTAAGTTCGAAGAAAAAGTATAAATGTTATGCCAAAAATTCTTACACAAAAGGAGTAATTTTTCAAAAAAAATATAAGCACTTCAACGAAAAGGTATAAGCTTAACCAAAATGTATAAATTTGATGATTTATTTTTTCACAAAAGGTATAAGTGACTTCGAAAAAGTTTTAAGTTGGGCTTCCACAAAAGGTGTAAGTTCGAAAAAAAAGTATAAATGTTATGCTAAAAATTCTTACACAAAAGGAGTAACTTTTCAAAAAATGGTGTAAGTATTTTCACGAAAAGGTGTAAGCTTAAGCAAAATGTGTAAGTTTTCGTTTGTTTACACCTTTGGTAAGTCAACTCACAAAAGGAGTAAGTGTTCATAAAAGGTGTAAATAATTTCACAGAAGGCGTAAGTTTTCACAAAAGGTGTAAGTTTTCAGAAAAGGTATAAGTTTTTACAAAAGGCGTAAGTTTTCACAAAAAACGTAAGTTTTCAGAAATCAGTTACGCCTTTTTCTGAAATTGCTTATGCCTTTCGTGAAAATATATGTCTTTTGTGAAAACTTATACATTTTTTGTGACCATCTACACCTTTACTTATATAATATATTATTTTATTAATTTACCTAGAAAGTGACCTGCTTAGTAGGTCACTAATGTGTAAGTTTTCAAATATTTTGATATAACCCAATACATATAAATGTGTAAATGTAAAATAGAAGGGTGTAAGTGCCTTGCATACCATATGCAAGGCACACATGAGAAAAGTCCATATACATACATATATATATATATATATATATATATAGAGAAAAAC